CATCGTACCGAGGATATACGATAGAACTCCTTTAATAAATAGGTATAGTTCTTGGCAACCGACATAGACCCAGTTTTATAAAACACACAGATCAGCACCTGTGAATTCCGAATGGAAAACTATTTTGCATACATGTGTGGCAAGGACGTTATATAATGCCGGTAGTTAGCACTTGAATAGAAACGGGGCAACGTAGAAATTTAATGTGGAGCACTCACGATTCAATGACAATTCTGACAAAAATGTATGCTAAATATCACAACAATATTTTTTTGTTGATATTTCAATTATTGGATGCTGAAAACGTCAATCTTATAAGCATGTCTCGTGTCGATTATTCAACGGCGTGAAATATCTTGTACGGCGGTTTAGAAGAAGCATTGCCAGATAACGGCATATCAAATGTAGGCGATTTTCCTCAAAAATTCATGAATTAGTTTAAGACAAATTCTCAAAATGTCAAAAGGTATTAAAAAAAAATAAAGTAGAAGTTATTATCAAGAAATGAACAAATCTGATAAGAACCTTCAAAAGTACCAAAGGAAACCTATAAACGCATTACGTATATATTTATTACACAAAGTAGGTCAGAGTCTACGTGACACAAACGATTAAATGTCACGATAATCAAGGTTGGGTGAGCCATATTTCTTTGTAATAAAGATTAGGACAAGCGACTAAATGAACAGCATGCTCAATACTCATACAAATTCACAAAAGACGCTTGATTTGCACTATAATCGTATAAGAAATAAATTTATGGTATTCAATTTTTGATTGCGTCTACGCAATGAGGAGACTGTGATGCCAACTAATGGCTAGAATATTATTATTATTATTATTATTATTATTATTACATATTTATCGTGACAAATATAATGGTACGTTGTTAAGCAATACGTAAATATACAACCCTGGAGTCTCAAAGAGTCTAGTCGTCGATGTCTATGTTTAGACAAGTTGTATGTGCGTGATAACAGGGTTCAAAGGTCAATAACCGTCGTCAATTATAACATGTTAGTTTGGGGGCCTATACAACTTGTGATCATTACTTGTGATAAATCACCATTGAGATTTCCGGCGGTAACACTCATACATTTACTTTTCTAAATGACCATTCTAGAAAAGTGATGAACGACTCTTTCTTCATCTCTCTGGCTGCAAGTTTCACATCTAATGAAATTAATTAATATCTATTTAAAGCCGTTTGGGATCATAGAGAAACGAGCAAAGTTGAAATTTGCATACTTATATTAAAACCAGGGCATTTCCGAAGGTCGTATTTGCATCTTATTGCCACGTAAATCATCCGGTATTATGGTAAATAAGTTTAACAAGTATCATAATTCTACTGAACGTGGCACCAAGAATATAGATACTCGTTTATTAAATTATATACCACACGAATCAACACTGAATGTGTTGATATCATATCTCTATCGTTAGCACTTTGCTATAAATGGGGCGAGCAGTTTTAATCTCACGAATTATATTACTGCCATCGCGAAAATGCAGTTTGTGAGCATTTACAGTAAGGATGCATCGGAAACATAACCTAAAATATTAGCTGTACCATTGGAACCGCGACTACTAAGTTGTGCTATGAAGCTCGAAAAAGCAGTGTGAATTCTTGACACTGCCATCGGAATCACGGCCCCTTGTTTTGTTGTCACCATCGAAAATAGAGATTTCCAGCGTCACTTAGTGTTACAAGAAAATGCTGTTTTGACGGTTCATAGAGGGTAAAGCTTCATGGAGGCGCTGTGCTGTACATATATCTTAGTAAATACTAAGCGATTTTGTTAGATGACTTTTGTAAGTTTTCACAATGATCATACCTGCGAAAGCGATCGTTCTATTTTTACAGATGACTACTTACGAGTACTCTTCAGCCATTTTTACCGTATTCAAAAACAGCTTTCCCAACTTTGCGAACATTTTTTGCAACAGTTGAGACATCTTTTCCAAGTTGCTTGTTGAACTTTTTCTGGAGGTTTTCATGACTTTTCAGGGCTAGTTTAAAGCCGTTCAAAACAGCTTTTAGAATCTTGCAGACGACTGTTGTGACTTTCAAGCATTGTTATATTGTAATTATTGATTTTGAAAACATATGCAGATATACAACAGGCTTAATCATCATTCAAAACAGCCAATAGCAAATCATATGCAAATGAGGTCATCACAATCATTACTAATTTATGGTTATTTACATGCACACTAGGCCACGAGGCAGAGGCAGTGACCTGGACAGAAACGGACGGCGATATGAAAAAGGTTAAAACGTGCATGTTATTTTAATAAAGGGAATAGTGCATTAATCAGCAACTTTCAAGCAACTTTTTTAATTTTCCGAAGTGACGTTTTCAACATGGTGTTGTTTACACAGGCGGAACGCAGCTAAGCAATACAGAGGGCGAAGCTTCATGGGGGCGCTGTGCTGTACATATATCTTTTCCACCTTTTCCAAGTTGCTTTTTGAACTTTTCCTGGAGGTTTTCATGACTGTTCAGGGCTGGTTTAAAGCTGTTAAAAATAGCTTTTAGAATATTGCAGACGACTTTTGTGACTTTCAAGCATTGTTATATTTGAGTAGCGCCACCAACGGCCCGAAAGCAGTTTTTTTATTTTTTATAAATACGGATGTGGTAATTTCCCGCGGTATATTCTTTTCTCTGACAAAAATCTAAATTTTAAAGTTATGATATAACTTGCATGGTGCAATTTTATTTTCTTGATCCAGACTTCTTTACTCCAGAATTTCAAAAAAACAACATGCTATAACAATTGTCACTGAGCCAGTGCCACATTTCCCAGTGTTAGAACTTGAACAATTACAATTATTTTTTTGAAAAAAAAAAATCAGTAACATCCATTATGCAGGGCCGGGTAAAAAATTGATCCAAAACGCCAAATTTCATTTAGTCACTTCATCCATGGATGGAGTGGCGCGCTCCCATTGTATCCAAATGGATCGAATACTACAACACATTATCGCAGCAGAGACACCATGACGCCTTCTCGGTGTGTCAGTGGTTGCACATTATATATCTTGAATGCTTGTATTAACGCAAACCCGTGTACCATGTATGATCCATGTTCAGCATACTTTTTTATTATTCTATTTTTTTTTATTTTATTAATTATTCGTATTTAAATTTATTTATTTTGATTGAATTAACATTATTTTTTGTTTGTGTCGTTTTTACGTGGTTTGAACATTTTGTCATGTTGACGCCCTACCTACATCAGCTCAACGCCCGTGTAAATTTCGTTTAACGAGACCTCTATTCAGCTGATTTTGCCGACCAATCATAGAGCAGTTTACAAAAGTGTTTGTTTTACACTGAAACTTTCATTCATCATGGCTGCTGGTTTTACCGAGTATTCATACAAACAGTAACACGCACATAAATCGTTCATTCACATAGAAATTATGAAATCACAGATTAAAACATTAATAGTTCATGTATGGGTTGATAATAACTCTATAATGTAGGGTACGGGCTTCAATTATTTTGTCTATTTGATTTTATTTTTTATTACTTTTGTTATTAATGCCTTTTTATTTTATTATTTTACTTTGATTTTGAGTCACGCAATTACCAAAACTTCAAAAAACAAATACTAGTCTAAGATAAAAATAAAATAAAATAAATTTACACAAAAAGCCAAAACAAGGATCTTATTTTAATCAGATTGGTAGTGTATCCTGCCAAACGCGATTATTATTTCGACTTGTGATATCGTTGCTTGGAAAAACGCTGGACGGGAATAGCAAAGGACTGGTCCAAGGTATGCACACACGTTGTTCATTGGCTTATTCATAAAAATAAAATAAATGCACAATTAGTTTTTGGAGAAGGGTATAAATTCAATGAAATCTTGTCTCATTTGTGGGAAGTACTTCTCATCCAATCAAAACACCTAGTATCACTCGTCTATTCATTATGTCAGCATCATGAATAAATAATTGATATATCATCATATCTGCATTAGCTGGAAAGCCACACACAACCGTTTTGTACTAACGCCGTCTACTCGGTTTTATCAATGGTCATGTTTGAACACGGGACAAGGGTTATCTCTAGTGACAACTAAGAACATCTCTTTTCGTATAGAGGTCATGACAATACTGTGATGTAGCCTACTTTTATTCTATTTTTATTTGCTTTGTGTATGCGTTGACTTTGAACCTATTCATGATTTTGTAATTACAACACAAATGGCAAAGGTATCTCACTGAAAGTTCCCGTGATATTCAAATCATTAAATTACGAATTAAACCGACCCTGCTTATTTAAATAAATGGTTGATGCATTTTTTATTCAAACTCGAACATTTTCTCTATAGATCTATTTCTAGACGTTTTTCGACGATTTCCTTATACTATTGGAAACAAATTGTCAAAATAAAATAAAGATTTTCACCAAAACAATAATTAAGAAGTTATCATCATGAAATGAACAAATCGTATAGGGACCTTCAAAAGTATCTAAATAACGAACATTAACACCGTAGTAGAAGTCATTCGAATGAAAAAAGGTCTATTTTAATTATCATCAGCTTATTTGCATAATATATAATAGATAATGCGTATGTAAATTAGTCATTTCATTTCATCAACATTCAAATGTCTCTAACGTCTCTGTCAGTGTTAGTCATATCCCTGACACAGGTGGTGATTGCCTGCAGTGTTGAGTCACCTGGCTTTGAATAAAAATAAACCAGTGTACTTTCTTGAACATTCTCCAAATACATTATCAAACTATCTACACGTACCGAATGCTTTTAAGCAAGTCGCACCAAGTTGAATTTTGAGTTCAGCTTGATTATGAAACAAAAAAAGGCTTAGTCGGAGCTCTGTGCATTCTGTGCATAATAGCAAACTATGTTGAAAACACTGATCATAATAAACGAAAATCACAATGTGCAAAAGCATAGTTATAAATTGTATACACAATCGTTAAAGTACAAGTTCAATTGTACAAGTTTTCAGGCTATTATAACCTGTTTTCTGGCATGGTTTCGGTGATCTCATTGTTCGGATCTGTTTTCGTGTATCCAAGAAGTGACACTGTGCTTCTCTCCCTTTTTATAGCTGAGGTTGTCTCAGTTTCCATCGTCGACAATGGTTCCCCATTAGCTGAATCTAACTTTTCATCTTTAGATGGCTCTGGTGGTGGTTTGTAAGTTAGAAGACCACCCAGACAACAAAGTACGGCAATACCAGTACCTATAGCTCCGATAACGACAAATTTCAAACCAAACTCGTGGTTATCATATATCCAGCAAGTACCGCTATCTCCACAGACCTCTTGCCATAGTAAGCACGAACTGTCAATTACTGCGCCGATAACAATCGGCCCTGGGATAGATCCTGTGAAATGGAATATATCAATGTCAACGCTAAAATTAAATGAATCGGTCAATACATGAAATATACGATACATTCCGCTGTAACGAATGATTTCTGGACAAATTTCACATTTGTTTCTCGATAACTGATGTAAATGTACTCACCAAAACATCGATAAATAATCGAACACATTCCAAGGGCATGTGACCTCTGCTGATCTGGTACACACCTGAAAATGTGCCCAAAGTTGAAACACATATATGTAACTAACACCTGGCATTTACAATTTTTCAGGCGTCAATCGAAAAATGTGTCTTGACAAGTCTAAGATATTTCGAATCAACATTACACACTGACCTCATTGTCAAAATATTACTTGGGGCCATCAACAAGAACATCATCAGCATAATGAGGAAAAATCCTACAGCGAACACCGGAAGTTGCCAGCAACCATCGTATACGCACTTTCCAGATAGAGCTTCCGGCGAGTCACCACTTTCGTTTTCCGAAAAGATGCAACTGCAGTTGTAATACGTCTAAGAGACACATTTGTACAAATAATTATTAGCTGATTTGAATATATGCTCAAAACTAGTGATTTATATATATTTTATTTATTTGTATATGACACCTCTCAACGCGTGATATTATTATGATAAAGACTTTCCTAAGAGTTGTTGGAGTCGTATACGAATGCTCTTTAGAAGGTAGTTTTAAAATATGTGCATTCCTTGCATTAACGTTATTGCTTTTAGGTAATAGAACTTTTGGAGTAACGTGACTAATCAATATTTAATTGTGTGTATATTATCTATGTTTCGTATACCTACTCCAATCTCACTCTGATTGGTCAAGTGATTCGGTCGCCCTCTTCGGTTTTAAATACCCTACTTCAATCTCACTCTGATTGGTCAAGTGATTCGGTCGCCCTCTTCGGTTTTAAATACCCTACTTCAATCTCACTCTGATTGGTCAAGTGATTCGGTCTCTCTCTTCGGTTTTAAATACCCGGTTTATCATATTTATATGGTTCGAGGCAATGTATCTTATCGTCCCAGATAACAGCACACTCCGATTGGGCACTTAATTTGATGGCCATATTGCATTTTTATATTCTGACATTTCTGGTAGTCCAAGCAGACTAAAACTTTCGTGCAGTAACACGAGCATATGGGCAATCAAGCTTGAAAATAAATAATAAAATTTAAGCTTTTACGTAACTTTTGCTGCCATATTTCATTTATCGGAAACCGGTATGTGAGCAGTCACACGGTTTGGTAACCATATTACTTTAACAGAAAATGTCATGAATATTTCGAAACTATATCAGTATATATAGGTCAAATGCATTACTCTTGACAAGCTCTTCACGATATGTCACATGATGCGGTTAGATTGAAAGCAAGAAGAGAGCAAGTGTTGCTCTGAATTCCAGCTGTCTTAATGCATCTAAAATGTATCATTCTTAAATCCTATCTGTGCCAATAAAATTGTCCATTTTGCATACAGTATGTCATTTGAATGAACGTGAGAAACGCTGATTGAAGCTTCAAGTTTTTATTTTTATTTTATTTTTTATTCATCGGACCTGAAAGTGTAATACATAATACAATAGCTTGTTTTGTTGAATCAGTTTGAATCAAAATTGTCTTTTTTGTCCAAGATGACAACTGGTTGCTGCCACTTATGTTCTCTTACGGAATTTATATGTATTATGGTTACTATGTCGACGTTGAAAATGCCTACCTCTCCATCATCCGGGGTATCCAGGCAACCAGCATAACACGCATCAAAATATAGCAGATTATTGGTTCCACAGACTGGATCAAATGTCTCAGTACCAGCACAACCACACACAGAGTTACATGGATGGTTAAGGTTGACTTCGTCAAGATCACTCGTACTGAAAACAATGATGTTTTACTTGTAAAATGACCATAGTGGGGGGGCATATCTCGTAATGGAGAACATCAAGTGTATACAACGTGCACAGCGACAAGAAATTGATGAAAACGATGATATGCCGGAAAGACATCGAACCGGGACACTTGAATCAGGGAAAAGGATTTCCGACTATGAAGTTTAAAAAGAATAAAGGGCGAGGTACTTTCCTTCCCAAACTTAAGGCAAATATGTGTAAAAATAATTGGCAAGTCTGAGGTAGTGGACAGGTGTATATTATGTCCGTCCGAGTCATTTTATGACGCAACTATGGATAGTGCAGAGGCATTTATTTATTTCTCTAGTAATACATTAATACGTGGAAAATCATGAATTGAATATTCGTGGGACTGTGGGTACGTTTGCAAAAGCGATAGAACATTTTGGAAGCGCGTCGGGTACGCTAATATCCCAGCCAATCACAAGTAAACACAGATAATTTAGTCCCGTGACCAGAGAGCGCTTTTCGCGGAATTTCAAGGAGTAAATTTCAATCACTAAGCATTATTTTTCAAGAAAAGAATCTTTATTTGCATTATATAAATTACCAGGTCTAAATATCAGTACTGGTGTGTGCAGCCACAGTCAGCTGGCGCACAAGTGGTGATAACAAAAATACGATATTTACTATATGATTATTAGGAATCTGAAAAAGAGCGTTTCGGTAGAACAGAAGGCGTGATAACGGAGGCGAATGGAACACTATTTGAGAACATATAAAAGTATCGCGGCTCTATCGCTCTCAGCGAGATCTTGGCACCTATTTGCAAACAGGGTATGTACTGGATATTAAGTTTTGTTTTGTGGTACTGTGTTTTTTTAACTTTTAAAATGACAAAAATTACGTCCAAGCCACGGGTAATTACAACAATACTTTGATTTAACCAGTAAGAATAACTCATCTGCAAATTGTTACAGGCCAAAAAATCTCGCGCGAGGTGTATTTAATAATGGAAACGAGCATAAATCATAGTGATATTAAGCAAACTTACTCTGAACTGTTGTACGATGTAATGACGCCCGCTACTTGTTGTTCCGGACATTGTAGAAGAAATATTGGAAACAGACACATCGTTATAAATGATGCAGCTAGGCAGAATCGTGTTGTGCCTATGACTTTCAAGTTGAATTTTTTAATAACCCATCCACCAAGTAAAGTTCCTCCAGCAGCGCCAGGCATGGAAGTCGCAGCTGAAAAATCAAACAAGTTACCTCATTACGCTAAATACGTCGATATAGTTAAGTCAGTAATCAACGAATGAAACAATACATAAACTCACCCAGTATCAGGCCAGCCTGGGATGCTGTAAGACCGAATTGGTTTTCAATAAACTTGACAATAAAAGGAAGGAATCCAACTACCACAAATGTTATAGCTGTTTTACTGGCGGCCATGAAACAATAAAATGGATTCTTGAAAAGCATTTTAGTTGCTGGCCACATGTCTTTCCATCCTTCCCCAAAGTCTGCTCTTGTTTGAAGTAATTCCGTGTCGTCATTGTGATGTGCCTGCGACTGACGTTCATGCTGGATGTGTTTAGTTCCTGGTTAAAACAGATAAAAAATAATAAAATCTATGTGATTACCAATACATATATGCGCGTATATACATTTGTTTGTTCGTAATTATGTTCGCATAACACGGTTTGTATTTATAGTTCCACGTGTTGATGATTTACAATTCGATGACGTTTATACTATACCTGGTAATTCTTGAGGAAACGCTCCTACCGGTAAGGATATGAGCCAGGCTAAGATCCATGCTAATATGAATCCGATCCACCAGGCACCAACCCAACTCGGATCTGTATTATCTATCGTCAAACTACAATAAATGTAAGTAAATATTGACGTGCCAATTGTGATATATAAAAATACAATGAAGGAGTGTGGGAACGATTGGCATGACACGTGCCTACGTTGTTTGCTGCTAGTTAGTTGTCCGTGGCAACTGGTAGACGCCTTGCATTAAACTATTGAAGTATTATAATGAAATAATACGTGGCGGTATAACAGTAATCTGAGGCTTCCAGCAAGCATGCAATTGACACGCTATTTATCCTTAGTTGTATTTACTAATTAAACGCAACACCCTACTTACTCGTCTTGGTGAAGTGGGTCTACATAAATAGTGAGGAAATAGGAACCAACCAGAAATCCAACAGTAGGACCAAACACGGAGCATGCGCTTAGTATACCTGTAAGAGTAATCACGACTATATTATGCTAATTCATTATAATTAGTGCATAAAGAGCATGCGACATAGATTAGAATAATATAAGATGTATATTATGAAAAGCCCTGACCACTTTCATATTGTTTTTAAAGGGAACCTCAATCCAAACAACACAATGACCCCTAAAGAAAAAGCTCCATAAATGTAGGAGAATGCAATTTACAGTTTTGTTGTATCACTTTTCATTCTCTAGATATTCCACTTTTCATCAGTATTACGTAGTCAGCCATCTTGATTTTCAAGCAAAGGATTATGGGTAAAGTATGACATCATAGAATCTGTTGTCAGAAATTGAGAAAATGATTTCATCTATAACTTCAAAAGTTGAACTTCAAATTGGCTGAAAGTTTAGAAATTGGTAGCATACATGTAAACTGGTGCCATCCATGCTTATAAAATAGTTGTCAT